TCATAACATTTTGAAAAATCATTGTTTTTTTTTAAGTTTATTTTCAAAAAATCCATTTTAAGGGGGTCCCAGGCCATGGCCTAGTCTGGCCTAATGGGTAATCCGGCCCTGCATTAAATGTTTTGTGAAACTTTTCTTTTGCCAATTGAGCTTTAAAAATTATGAGAAAAATAGCTTATTTTTTTTTAGGAAATTTTTCGCTGTAAGATTAATTTTTAAGAAAATAATAGAATAAATAGCTTTAAAATTTAAAAGAGTCTACAAATTTTTCTGTTAACTGGGAGGCTCCCTCCTTTTTGCTTTGCACACCAATCCCCGGAATTGCTTCTTATTCAGCAGTTTTTTCCCCCTAAAATGCAGAACATTTTGTATTCAAAATATACAATTATTGTAGCTTTATGCAAGAGCATTTTGTTAATATGTTAATCGTAATGAAATGCACGATTACCTTGATTTGAAAAATAATATCTGAACGTGAACAAATTAATCAAAGGAATAAGAACTACAGATTGTATGACTTAATTAGAATAAATAAATGAGAAGTAATTTTACTCGTTATAACTATTCATATAGGAAACGGTTTCTAACGCTATTTATTAAGTTTTTTTTATTTTTAAAAATCCCAGTCTAAATGTAAATGGCAACATGTAATCCCGATTTCCCTCTTTTTTTTTTGGGGGGGGGGAAGGTTATTTCTGATTGACATCTAAACACGCTCGAGTTCATACAATTTAAGAAACATACACCTCGGGAGGGAAAAATAAATTTGCTGCAACAATCCATAAATATAGTCTATATTTAAAGCTAAAAAAAAGTCACGAAAAAGCACTTAAATTTGCAATACAGGACAAATTGGAATTTTGAAACGAAGTTCACGTTAGGCTTATTAAAAAAAGGATCTTTCAGCATGTCAAATGTTTACTCCGTAGTTGCACTTCAGCGGACTATGATATTATAGGGAAAACATAGTATGTTTTCCTTATAAGTTTAACAGTTACTATAATTCTCGAACTAATTGTGGATTCTTAATTCTTTTTTTACTTCGTCGAACTCTCTGTACATTTTCTATATACCTTCATAGTTTCAAGTTTCTAAATGTTATAGATTTTGTGCAGCCAAGCAAAATGTTACGTGAAGTAAAAAAAAAAAAAATTCGCCAAATAATCATATCCAGGAATTGAAATTGCAATCAACTTCCGAAAAATTTGAAATTTCAAAAAATAAATAAATAAAGAGCTTGTGTTATATAACAAATATGGCCCTTTTAGCATGTTAATATTTCTCTTGTCTTATTGCTATAAACACAGTACTCCAATCGCCTACGGGCATCATCTCAGATGAAGAAGTGGAGTGCCCGTTCTGCGGGCAGTTACTTCATATTACACCTCAGTCTAAACCCGACTATAAGTATATACTTACATCGACCAGAGCTTCTGCAACAACTCAACTCTGTAATTGCATTTCTGTGACCAGTAGAGCAACCTGCATGGTATTTTTTTCTCTACAAGTATAACAATTAATAATTCTCAAATCTTAAATTTTTTTATTCCATTGCACTAACTGTGCATATTTCATTACACCCTTTGTAATTTCAAGTTTATAGTTTCTGCGTAGCAAAAAAATTTAACATTATATTGGACACTGTTAGTTGAGTTCATTATAGAAGCTAATATAATAATAGTAATTCTTGACCTTAATTATTGAGAAGAACAAATTAGTGAACATTTAAAATCACAAATAGTAAAATTTATTAAAACCTATACGTAACTGCTTTGATTTTTAATAGTCCGATATTTCTTACACTAGATAGGTAGACTTGGTGAGACTATTGTTAATGTGCTTACTTTTAGTAATAATTCTATTTGAGTAAATTATTGTAAAGTTAAGATTATAAAATCATCATCAATGACTCGACAACCCAGGGTGGACCTTAGCCTTCTCAAAAAGTTTTTCCATGCTAAACTTTTTCTTGATAGTGTTTTCTAGTTTTTAGGAGCAAAAGGTCTTTTCCTGCGCCATCAATCCATTTCAAATTCGGCTCGCCTCTTTTCCGTGTGCCAACTGGTCTGGCATTAAAAACTCTTTTTGTGGTATGGTCTTCGTCCATTCTGATAACGTGGACTGCCCATTTTATTCTTTTTCGTTTAATAAAGTTAATAATGTCAGGTTCATTATATGAGTGATAAAGCAAGACTATAAAATATACGATTTAAAACATGGAAAAATATAGTAATTAATATTATTGAATTATAGCTGGAATGCCTAAGAATTTTAAATTTTTATAATACATGAACTCTGTATCTTACCCACCTATCAAATTTAAAGTATAAAACAAATTATATATGGACAAAAAAAGCTTGATAAATTTTTCTACTCATTTTGTATTAGTTGTTACATAAACAATTAATTTAAAATAATTCAATTAATTAGTTATTTAAATTTTAAAGTTCATTTGATAAATTCTCTGTCCTGTTTTCTACAAATTTCTAAATTTTAAGTTTCTAAATGTACAGTTTGTGCACAGTATTAAACCGCAAGAGTAGACAAATTTATTTTAAAGAGACATAAGAAATTAAAGTGTACATGCATTTAATGCACATTAATATATGTGCCTAAATTCGAATTGCTTCTTGCACATTGAGGCATTTGATTTAACCTTTGTAAAACTTTTATAATTTTATGCTAGAAAATGTCAGATAGCAGATATTTAGTTAAAGTGAAATGATTTTAAAAAAACTTCAAAACAATTTCCTTTAACAAGCTTGAATTTAATTTTAAAAAAATTTTAAAACTTAAAAAAAAATAAAACGATAAAAAAGTTTTTATTATTTTTTTTATTCATTTCTTAGGGGCTTTTTTTTTTTACTTGGTTTTAGGCTGTATCAGACATTATTTAGAAGCACTTTAGTTACACTTAGAAGCATTACTTAAGAAAATTTTAATTTAAGTGAAGCAAACAACATAACCTTTTTTGTATAAAATTTTTGTTAACCTTTCAAAACAAAATTTGTTTTATACTACATGTTAAATTAAGCCCATTTATTACAAAAATATTCTTTAAGTGAATGTTTTGTGAACGATCATAAATTTTAATTTTTAGAAATCACGCTGTATATTGACTCAGTAAATTTTGCAACCAGATTTCTTCGTAAAATCTAAACTTATTTTCTAAAATAAATTCACAAAATTATTACAAAAAGTAGTCTGTCATCAATTGCTGAAACACTTTTTTTTCACTGTAAATTATTAATATTTTTGATTTATCTGAATAAAATAACACATTTAAAAATACTTAGCTACAATGCAACTTTAACACTTTTCGATACCAAAATTACCTGGATTATCACTATACTGGAATGAAAGCAATTTTTTATATCCCACAGTGTTCATTGCTTTAAGGACAAATAGTAATTGGAGTCATATTCAGGGGACGATTGATCCAAACTAATCTCATTTATTTTTTCTTGGCATTAAAATCTATTTGTAATAAAATTTTTAGCCTAATCAACAAATGGCTTTTTCATCGCCTTCCATGTCAACAATGATTCAAACACTATGATCATTCTTATGAGGATAAGTATTTTTCTTTGACCAAGTACAGCTCAGGTGTTGCAATAATCATATGAAACAAATTTTAGAAAATGATTAAAAAATTTTAATGATTGATACACAACAAAGCTAAGGAAAAGACCACAGAGTGTCTCAAATGTTCAAAGTCCACTCTTTCAGATTTCCCTCATACAGTAGCATTTAGTCTTTTAACTAAACACATTGCTTAAATGTCCGGTATTTAAAAACAGGTCTTAAAGAACTTATTAATTACAACTTATGAATTATAAGATTATTAACAAACACATTGTGTTAAACTCTTTTACTTCAGTTGTATTGGGTAGGTAGGTACTTTATTTACATCGTACTAGAGCTGCACAATGGGCTGTAGGCAACTGTCTGAGAAACATCCCCGAGATTGATCCGAAGACATGCCATCACAATTTCGATCCCCTGCAGAGGGTATTGGAAAACAAGACAAAGGATAATGGCCAAATTTCTGGCATTTGAATAAATATATGATACAGTACGACCCACTTATAATTATTACCGATATAAAGAGATTTCCTATTTAACAAGGAAAATTAAATCTCTTGTTCAGTATGATGTTATACAAGTATTAGAGTATACTCTTTTAGCAAGAACTGTTTTTTTTGTTTTTTTTCTCAAATTTAACATGGGTAACTAGTTTAAAAGCATGAAATAATAACAGATGTAAAGAACTTTAAAATATAAGTAATAATTATTGGTAAAATCATAAGCAAAATTATTGGTAAAATCATGTCTACTAGATTGTTTTGATTTGTTATTTAAACAAGAAAAAACAAGAGCAATATTAAAATATTGAAGATACATTTAATGACGTCAAAAATCAGTTTGATTGAGGAAATTAAGAAGCATTTTTAATTTTTATTCACAATCAAATTGCTCTTGATAATATTGATCCTACTTCAATGTGATTGATGTTGATAATAAATCAGGAGATTTAATGAAATCTCTTTACAATGATTCTAATGTTAAATATTATGGGAAGTTAATTTGACACCTTTATAATTTGACCTCATTCAATCAATCAAAGTGATATTGAATTAAGAAACAAACCTTGTTAACAGGATATATAAATATTTTCATTCCAATATTTCATAAAGAAATTTCTAAAATATTTTTGTCAAAGTTAATTTTAATAGCTTGAACTTTAATCGAAAGTGGTAAATTGTTTTTTACAAATTTATGAAATTAAAACAAATAAATAAAAATAAAATATTAGTTCTGTAAAACTAGAAAAACTGTAATGAGATTTTAAGGTATAAAAGTAATAAAATTAGGTTCAAGACAATTATTAAAATTAACCAAAGATATTTTTGCGCAATAAATAAGACTTATTGCAGAAAATAGAAATTGTCAAAATATTAATCTTAGTCAAAATATTTTGAAATAAATTAAGAAGAATATAGAACAAAATAATTTATTTGCATAAATTAGATACACAATAAACACAAAACGTTTGACATGTAACACCTTCAATAAAAATAAATATTTAGTCAAGCAACAATTAATAATAACATCTAAAAATTTGCTTTAAATATTAAAGGTTAGTAAAATTTAAACCAAGTTTCAAAACATTAATTAATTTTCAATGTCGTTAATAATAACATAATTTGTATACGAATGAGATGATACTAAAGAAAAAGATATAAAAGGATAAACACAATATCACATTATAAAAGATGCTTTTGTTGCAAACTAGAGCATATTTTTCTAAGTTTTAAAAGATTTTTCTACCTGTTACGTTTAATCACAATTTTTCAATACTTAAAACAGTAATGTTAAATGTCATTAAATAAATAGAAAAATTGCAGCAAAAATCCTGTCTTAAATATATTTATTTTGTCAGAAAAGAAGTGAAAGAAACTTCAGAATGTTTTACAAAATGACAGGCAATTATTAAAATCAAATATTACACGAGATTCAAAAGTGTCAAAAAAACATTATTATCAATTCAATAACATATTTTAAAAATATAAATTTATTATTTAATATATAAATAAACAAGCATAACACTTTTTTTGAGAACACAGCAATTAATTTCTTTTAAGTCAAAAATATTCCAGAAAGAAAGAGAAAATTTAAAAGAAAGACTCCAACATCAACTTAACATTTAAAAAATCTTGATATTGATATTTAATAGAAATTTATGTTGAATAATTCATACCTCTTAGTTAATATTGAACTTTTAGAACTAGTCCTAGAAAGGGAGTGTAGGTAAAATTATAAAACTTATTGTATTTCATATTTACTCAATACCAAATTGATTATCCAATGTAAAATTTCGCATTAAACTAGTCAGTCATAAATATCAAAGTTTGAAGTTAACAAACATTTCCATTTTCACTTAAACAATCAAAATAAGCATAGTATCTATAAAGATGGTTAAAACCTTACATTTAAAAAGCGAGAAAGAAATGCAGTTTTTCTCGCTTTTTAAAAAAATCATTATTCTCTTATTATTTTTTTGTTAATAGCTAATGCTTATAAGTAATATTAACATACAGAATAATATGTTGCTTACTCTTCTGCTTATTTATAATTCATAAAGAGGATTTAATATTTATGTTTGTGTTTAAATGTAGCCAAAATATGTAACAATCTTACAAATCACAAAATCATTAGGATACAAGAAAAAAACTCAAATTGGACAATCAAATAAGTAAAGAAAAATTCAGTACTTTTAAATTAAAATATGAAAGAAACAAATAATAATTTTTGGAATGTATTTTACAAAATAATACTGATTTAATTAAACCATTGCATAAAAATCAAGGCAATAAATCGAGACCAGCACAATACAAAAAGTTATTACTTTGACCATTGATAAAAAATAATTAATTGGCACAAAGCACAATATACAACCTACTTTCTACAAAAGCTAAAATTACAAAACAGTAAAACACAACACAAAATAAAGTATAAATTCATAAAACAAAGTAGAATACATTTTTCCAATAAAATGTTTCCAACTTTTGTAATAATTTATGAGGTAGGTTACAACTTAATGTCTCAAAGACAAAAGGTTTGTAAAAAATGTTTTCAAAATTCCTTTTATATAAAGAATGCACACAAATTTTAATCTACAAAACTAAATTCGAAAGCAATTGTTTGATTGGTATAGGAAATATCAATTACTAAAAAAGGGCACCTTTTTTACAATTAATTGTGCCTTGCCATTAAAAATGACATGGAGTAACAACAAACATTGCAATAAAAAATGTATCATTATTAAAAGTATAATAATTTTTTTTAAATTATTCTTTCACCCTTTAAGTCAATAAATTTCACATCTATACGTAAAACTTTTGAAATGGAACAGTTACCTGAGCAAAAAATAACACATTTCTTAATAAAATCCTAAAGTTTATATAAAGTTAAAGTTATTAAATCCTTTCCTAAAGTGCTTAATTGTGTAATGGTTAAATGGTAACACCTGAATGCATGGCAAAAATTAGTTACCAGTTTGTGCATATCACCTCTTAAAATTTTTCGATTTGGTTCCGCCTATTGAAATATTATGTCTTTTATAATTTTAGATAGAATTAATAGTAACTATATTCTGCAACTTAGAGATGGGATTCAACCTGTATATATTTACCAATTTTTAAAGTGGAAACATTAAAAAAAAATCTTGAAAACTTGAATACCAAATATATTAAAATTATGAGAAATATTTAAAAAATAATTTTATAAAATTAATAATTTTTTTATAATCTAATAACAATTATTATTGCTTTTAAACCATGCCAAAAAATTAAGGCTTTAATGATTTAAACCCTATTACTCTGATTACAATGAATGTAATATAATTCATTTCATTCTATTTCATTTCATTGTAATTAGATGAACATTTATTTTACATTTCATAACTAAAATTGTAATAAACACTGAAAAGCACTTCAAATAATAAACTTTATATAATAATTTGTATTTTTTTTATAAAAGTGGAAAATTGAATAATTTATATATTTTAGTTCATATAAAATTCAAGAAAAAAAGAATTCTAATTACATTTCATATGAAAATGCAAATGTATCATCTTACAATTTTTAGCTCCTATCAAATATGTTGATATAAAAAATTAATTAACATATATATTAAACAATAACCACTATCATGACATATAGGTTATTTTAATTTTAAAAGTTTTAAGGATAAAAAAACAAGAAAAACTTCTACCAAGTGTTTTTTTAAAGTATATATTTTGTTTACAGTGTGCTAAATCAGATTTAGATATTACTTTGAAAGGTAAAGAGTTATAATGATGACATAGGTTGGCTCCTTTCATCCCAAATATTTATACCATCACACTGGCAAAGTCTTTTAGGATTCTCAAACAACCCAGCAGATCGAGCAATAATAGCAGCAGCCAAACTAGAAAACAAAATGTTAAATATGAGAAAGAATTGCAATTCTTTTAAAAATCAAACATACCTAAAAAATTTCCAGAGTGTTTTTTCTTCTTTAAAATAAGAAAGAAAAATTATTTAGTAAAGTGATTTATCCTATTAATATATTGGTTGTGCTTGAAATTTTGACAATATAATTTTTCTTTTTTACAGTTTATATGTAAAAATTTGAAATATAACAAACACTAAACCCATCGCTATAAACAAAATAGTTTAATCGAGTATAATTATAGACAGTTCAGAGGTCAAATCAAAAGGCTTTATAAATCATATTTGATGTTGTGCATCCCATGGGTAATGGTATAGCTCAGAAATGCACAACCAGTCTATGGTCTGAAGTTCCTGATGATGATCAGAAGACAATATAGGCACAAACATTAAAATCTGCATGAGCATTAATAGCATAGAAGCTTTCGTAGTATTTTATGCAAATAACTTGCCTCACAAATTATTGATATTTCTCAAAATATCAATCCAAGTAAACTTAAGCCAAAATACTTTTGCTAACTTGCAGAAATATACCTTATAAATTTTTTTTTAACGCATAACGATTTTGAAATCAAAATATCAATGCTTTATAATTAATGTAAAACAAAAAACATATGCCTCATATTTCTGTGAATTATTAAATATCAACTTCAAGTAGCATATACACTACTAGCATCATAAGGATTAGGTTATGATACGTCACTTGACTGATATAAAAAAATATTTACAGACAAAGGAAGTAATCAAAAAAGGAGTAGGTATACTTTGTGATATGTAAACTAATTTTAAAAAAAAGAAAAACAATGTGAATAGAACACAAATGGGCAAACTAAAGTTTCAGTTCCATAAACAGGAATTTTCCATAGCGTCTAAACACCTAATGACGGTAGAGAAGTAAAGAGATAAACACGTGCATAAAGAAGTTTGAACAAGATAATAAAAAAGGAGAATAAGAAACAGTTGTTAGGGGATTTAGTAGGAACCCCAGGGTGCAACAGATTAAATTAGAACGTACTTACAAATATTGGGAAATGGTGGGACACTAGAGAGATGACTAACTAAATTATTAGGATTTTTAAAAATATGGAATGACTCCCAAAAATCAATTTTGGAAGATAGCGAGCAGTGTTGAATGATTTTAGCAGACAAAAAAAAACTTGTGCGTAGAATTCCGAATATTTAGAGTGATAGAAGATCAATATCCTGATTTTAGACATATCTTTCATGGTCTTTAGGTTGAAGTCTAATATTTTATTTGCTCATTTAGTTTGCTCAATAGACACAAAACCACATTGATACAAAATTTGAAAAATAATCCGACTATTAATATCAGCAATAAGGTCTTTAAGGTTGGTGAAATTTGGTTAATTTGTAGAAAACATTATTTTAAACTCAAATTTATTCAAAATCTTACCAATTTGGGATTTACCTTTTTTTCAGACATTAAGATAAAACAATCAAATAGTTAGTTATCAAAGCTAACTTTAAACGTAACCCTTAAACTTTGACTAAAAGAACACGAAAGATGTGTTTAATATCAGAACATTAACCAATCTCCCATCAATCTACTTAGTCAGAATTCTAATCACAGGTTTAAGTTTTCTTCTGCGAAAATCATTCAACACTGCTCAACGTCTTCTGAAATTGATTTTTGGGAGTCATTCCATAGTTTTAAAAATTCTAATATTTTAGTTAATGATCTTTTTAGTATCCCACCTTTCTCATTATTTAGAAACCTATTCTAATTTAATCAGTTACACCCTTTTTTATTATCTTGTTCAAATTTGTTAGTCTCTTTTTAATTCTTTACAATCATTTGGTGTTTAGAGGCTGAGGAATGTTCTTGATTTCAGAACCGAAAATATAATATGTTCATTTTTGCATTTTAATTTGTGCTTTACGCACGTTTTTTTTTTTCCTTTCTTGCTTTTAAAGCAAATAGTAAGTAATTTTAAAAAAATATATAACCTATTCTTAAATATAATTAAAATTGAGTTATTTTAATATTGTATCGAAAATGGAACTGCAAATAGTGACTGCAATAAAGATTAGCCAGAAAAAACAAATGCCTTATTTGATTGCGATAAAAATATTTCTAAACAAAACAAGTCTTGTCAAGAAATTTTCAGAACACTTTTTAAAACTTACCTTAAGTTCATTTTAAAAGGATTTTAATATTATACTTAAAGGGAAGCTGGAAATAATAGCTGCAATAGGATTAGGAAACAATGCATCATTTAACAGATATAAAAATACACTAGAAACTCAATCGATTTGTACTCATGAGACCCTACTCTTTGCCAATGATTGATATGAAAAAATGACAAATGCACGTCAATGTAAAACATTATTTAATGACTAGAAAAGTAATAAAGAAGCAATGGAATTAAAAATTAATAATTTTAAAATAAGAAAGAAAAATTTTAATTGCAAAAATTAAGTACTTTATGCAAAAATATTTACAATGCAAAAGAAAGAAGAATAAAGACATTTACTTATTAAAAATGTTTGGACATTTTGGCTGGCACACTCTTTTCTTCTCAGAATGAACAATAAAGCTTCGGTATTTGTAACAAATTGTCGTTTATTTTCAGCACATTTGCGTTAATACAGAAATATCCTTACTGTTTTAAAGGTTTTGGGGCCTTCTGCAAATTTTGGAACTAGTTATTGTTCCTCTTTGCCTTCATAATCAGTATCACTTTGCTCTTCATTCAGCTTCTGCAAAAATTTTTTGAACCAATAACACATGTTTCCATGTTTTCATGAATTGATGCATAAACAACTAAAGTGCTGTTAGAGGCTTTTTCTCTAAATTATAAAAAATCGCCATTTTCTTCTTCATCATTAGCACCAGGAATTCTAGTTACTCTACTCAAAACAAAATACAATTTCAAAATTTTCGGATGATGGTAGAATCTCTGAATAACAGATCTATGAATAAGCTACTTAACTATCTTAACGAGTATGATTAACATTATAAGAATAGCATTTGGGACGGGACCATTAAAACATGATAATACATATGGGAAAACAAAAGCTGTGAGAATGATGGGTCATGGTTTGTCTGTGTTTCAATGTATAGCAAGTATTCAAATCAAGCATTTTTCAAAAATTTTTAACTTTCTTACCCTATATTCATTTCAAAGAGAGTTACTTTAATAATAGGAACTGAAAATAAATGCTATGATATAGTACTTAATTGAGTTAGTTTTTTTTAAAAAAATCAACAAAAAAATAAGAATAATATTGTCAAGTAATTTTTAAAATAAACAAATAAAGCCATCTTATCTTAGGTTACAAAGTTATTTTAATGTAGTACCTAAAAGGAAACTGAAAATAATTTTAAACGTATTGAAATAAGCAAATACTAATGCACGTAACAATTATAGAGCCACCTGGAAAATTAAATAAAGTATCAATCAATATGAAAATGAAAATACTAGAAATGATAAAAATGTATGTACACACATTTTATATCTTATGCTTTTCTATGAATTTGAATGAAAATCAGCCATGATTGAATGAAAATTAGTCACTACGTTTTTCACTCATTTGAAGACAATCTTTTCAAAAGTTTATGCCTGTAAGCAGTATGTACCGCATTTTAAAAAATCCTTGTTCATAAACTGATCATGTTTAGAAATGTAAGTTAATAAAAAATTACTGGGAGTAAAATAATATAAATTTCAGAAAGTTATTATTTCAAGGAAAAAAGAATTAAACGAAAGTAAACACTTTTTCTTTTCTGAATGAGTTAGTGAATTCGGAAATAAATTCACAGTTCTGGTTACTTTTAAGAGATATTTACGATAAGATGAAAGATTCGGGTGAAGATTTTTATTCCCTTAAAACTTTTTGTTCAAGATGCTGAGGAATTTTTTTTTTTCAGAAATTGATTTTTGCCAATCATTTAATTTGCGGAACTACCAAATCGTATTTGTTTTCAAAAAGAAATTTAAATACCTATGATGCATTAAAAGAGGAATTACTTAACAAATTAGATACTATTGCCTTAATAGAAATTCATTGTGAACTTGAAAAATGCAAAATGTTGAAATAATACATTATTTTAATTCAATGCACAAATTGTATAATAAATGTGATTCTACTATTGATCAATCATCAGTAATTTAGTATATCATAAATAAAGTTAACGAAACTCGTTCTGAAAAAATTATTTTTTATGGAGCTCATTTATTTTCAGAATTTAAGCAGAAATTGCGTGCATATGAAACTGTTGTCAACAATTGGATCAATAATCCCAATTTGTGCAATCTCAACATGACACCCTAAAACAAAACAACTATAGAAAACCTTCAGAATCAGCTAAAGCTCCTCAACGCTGTTTTCATTGTAAATGATATTGGTTATTTATCAAAATCATGCCCTAATTGTTCACGTGACTCCAAACATATATCATGTTATCTACTTGGCAATTTATCCACAGAGTGTAGGTGAAATAATCGAAATAATTCAACACATGCCAGTACCATTACTGTTCATGAATATCCTTCTCTCTGTGTAAAGAAGTAATTATTTCTAATCATAATAAACTTAAAGATTTAGTAGATACAGATAGCAATCTGACATTGCTAAGAAAAGCGGTATATACAAACTTAGATGCACCTCTACTAAAAAGAAACAATAAATTGTTAACTGGTTTTGAGTTTTTCACAAATAAACATCATCAGTTCTTTTGAATCCAAAATTATTATTGATGACATGGTTGCTACATAATAAAATAGAGAAAATAGTTGCTTTTAGTAGCCTAAAGCATGAAAATAGTTGTCAAAAACTATAAAAAAAAGGTGCCGAAATAAAAACAAAAAATTTTCAATACTATAACTATAATTTTATTAATTGCTTAATTGTCATACACCATGATCCATTTAGTCAAGTTGGTGGCCAATAAGATACTTTTTATATAAACGTTAGTGTTCTAGAGCAAAATTTTTATATGAAAAAAATTAGTATATTTGCAGAAAATTAAATAGTTTTAATTACTAGAATTAATTCAGAAAAATAATTTTTCATTAAAAAAAACATACTTTATCTAAAAAAATTTTGCTTATATCAATAATTGATTTAGCATGTATATATATGTATATGAAAAGTGATAACCAAAATTCGAAAATCATGCATTGTAATATTGACATAGCTGCTAATCTCTAGCAGGGCGCGTAGCCAAATCTTTGAATCAAAAATAAGCACTTTTTAAAAACTTTTCAAGCACTCAAAAGATTCATATTCAATCAATGATATTATTGAAAAACAAAAACTTTTTATAAACAGTTTTAGCGTTAAAAAAAACCCAAAAAGAAACGGGCGTAAATCGAAACAATCAGTACTTTCCCACATCACCGAGTGAATTCAACTTGACCCTGAATTCAGAACAAAAGTACCCTTACCCCCTACGTCAAAAAAAGTGTTAGAAGTAAAATAAAATAAACAAGAATAAAATTAAAATAAATTAAAAAGAAAAACATTTCATAAGGATCTGTTATTCTCTATCTGAATTGGAGCACTCAGGTTTCGGTTTTAAGCGCGCGCGCATGCGCAAGTCATAACGTGGGTACGACATGAAGTCCGCGTGAATGATTGCGTAGCAAACACCCCATTTTTCGTAAAATGAATGGGATCTACCAGATATCACTGATTATTATAATTTTTAAAACGAGTAAATACAAATCCCGATTCATAATTCTTAGATCTCGTAAATACGAATGCGTAATTTTTAGATCACATAAATAAGAATTATGATGCATAATTTTTAGAATGCGTGAATGCGAATCCCAATGCCTTATTTTAAAATCACGTATAAATACGAAAATCAATGTTTGATATTATAAACTGCATGAGCAAATCAAGACACTAATTTTAAACTTGCGTGAATACGAATTGCTATATAGGTTTTTAAAAAAGGCGTAAATACGAATCACAATATCGGATTTTGAAATCTTGTAAATAAGAATCGCACCGTACAATATTCAAATCGCGTGAATAAGAATCGCAACACGCAAGTATGAAAAGCTATGTTTGATATTAAAATCGTGTGAATAAGAACCGAGATATTAGCAGATTCCAGGCTCGGGACCTCTAAAAGACTTATCAGAAGCAGCGTTGTTTGAACTACAAAAATCGGATCTATCTGGAAGGCGGGTAAAAAATGCGAAAAATCTTATCTGCTGCGAGTAAAAGGGGAGAAAATTGTTATAATAAGTAAAAATGAGAAAGGATTGCTAGCTATGTAGTTTGAATTTTCTGTTTCTCTTTGAAAATCGGTGAATTTTCTGAAAAAGCGGAATACTTATTAAAAAAAGTGAAACTTTTAGAAAAATCTGAATTTTTGATTAAAATTAGTTACCAGTTTGTGTATATCACCTCTTAAAATTTTTCGATTTGGTTCCGCCTATCGAAATATTATATCTTTTATAATTTTAGACAGAATTAATAGTAACTATATTCTGGAACTTAGAGATGGGATTCAATTCATTTCATTGTAATTAGATGAACATTTATTTCACACTTCATAACTAAAATTGTAATAAACACTGAAAAGCACTTCAAATAATAAACTTTATATAATAATTTGTATTTTTTTTATAAAAGTGGAAAATTGAATAATTCATATATTTTNGACATGAAGTCCGCGTGAATGATTGCGTAGCAAACACCCCATTTTTCGTAAAATGAATGGGATCTACCAGATATCACTGAAGGAAAAAAAATTTATTCGTGAAAAAAAGCACTTTTTAAAAACGCCAGCTGAAAAAAGCACCTTTAAAAGCTTTCAAAAACGAAATCCCCAAAAAAGCACCTTTAAGTACTTTTTACAAACGCTACGCACCCTGTCTAGTTATAAAAATGCAGAAGATAGACAAAAAAAATGCAGAAGAAATGCCTAAAAATGCAGAAGATTTACAGCTGCATACTAATTACTAATAAATTTATAAAAGAAGCAGATTTTAATTAATTATTTATTTATAAATCCAATATATGAGCATAAAAAAGCAATACTCAACTTTTTTTAAAACAAGAAAAGGAAATAATTTTTAAAAAAAACTTATGTCTAGCTACTTGATGGTACAATATTCTTGATTAAAGGGAAATATGTCATATTTCAAGACTTAGATTAACATTAGTTTAATTACAATATAATAGTATGCACTATGTATAAACTTAATAGAAATTATGAAAAAAAGAATTACACTAAAGAAATTTGTTCTTCTGGTGTTCTGTCGATTTTACGTGTCTGACCATGCGCTATGCTAGTCATTTTTACATACGTTGCCGTCGTTTTTACATACATTGTACTCCAAGATTCTATCCAGAAATAAATGGAAATTCAAGAGAATAGGACTCCTTAAAGACTTGTTTGTATTGTTTTCGTTCAGCCATAATAAATTAACACGATTAATCGAATGAGAAAAAAATATTGCCATAAACCAATTGTTGTTTTGCTTTTACACAAGCAATTTTCCTTTAACGGTTGCTTTCGGGCCGGCAAACAGGAAGTCAGGTGATAACGGGAAGCGCTTTCGTAACATAAGCTGAATTCCTTCTCTCATTGATAGAAGAGAGGAGAAATCCATTACGTCACACTGAATGATGTAACGTAAATGGAAGGAAAGGGAGGATCACAGCAAGCGGGCTTTCTACGGCCATTACTAGAGGAGCATTGACGTCTGATTTAAAGATAATGCTAGCTATCAGGCGGATAGGTAAAATGCGGAAATTTTATCTTCTGAGTGTAAATACGGAAAAAATAGCTAAAATAAGTAAAAATTCAGAAAGCTTCCGCAAAATGCGGAAGGGTTGGCAGCTATGTATTGGGATTAAAAATCGTAAATAATTGTGAATACAATACATTAGTTTTCAGATATTAAAATAGATAATATTCACCTAGTTCCAGAATTGCCATCCATTTTTGATGACTCACTGTTACCTAAGCCAAAATCATCTTTATCAGAGCTCACAGCTATGGATCTTCCTATTATTTCATGAACCTTGAGTTGATGATCTTCAATGCGAAAACTTGCTCTTCCTTTTGAATCAGCAAATATGTTTCCCAAATCCCCGTAATGCTAAATAAAAGAGAAAAAACAAAGGCATGAATAATTTTGCACAATTAACAGTCAAAATAATATTTCAGACTAATTCAAAAAAAAAAATCCCACTTTTCCAGCTAAACTTACGTAAAATTCTAAAATTTAAAAAAAAAAATCAACAAAATTCATAATAAATAATAATCAAATTAGGATTATAAATAAAGTTGTAACTCTAAAAATGCATTTATAAATTATTTTTATTTTTAAAAAAAATTAGGTGATTTAAATTATACCAACTCAGATTAAAAATAAAAAAACTGCCAGAACTATAAATGTGAATGAAAGATAAAAACAGGACTCAGGGAATTTACTTTACTAGGAAATATTAAACGAAAAGGAAAAAAACTAAATTGTTTATAAGTAAAGGCTGCTGCATTAAAATAATAAGAAAAGTATATGATAATCTATAATTGAAGTTAAATCTATAAATGAAGTTAAATTTTTTTTATTAATTGCAAAATAAACAAAAAAAGTTTTTAAAGACAAATATCAAACCAACATAAAAAGAAGCTAAAATATTTATAAGCTAAATGAAATTAAGCCAAATTATTATAAACGAAATAAAACCACCTTATAATAAACTGAAAATTTATTAAAATCACCAAATTAACTAATACAAAACAAAATTAATGATTAAAAAATGCAATATATTTCAAACCTAATAATAAGGAAAAAAGGAAACGCTAAAATACAAGGAAAATTTATTAATCAAATTAAATAAAAACAATAATAAATGGAAACCATAGTTAAAAGAAGCACTGACAGAAGTATTAAAACCCTGAACATGGCAGGATATAATAAGACCAGCTGAAGTTTAAAAAAATTCTTTATCTTAAAAATCATGAACGAAAAGAACTAATTTATTGAGTACAAAATTTATTGGGAAAACGTATCACTCATAAAAAGAGAAAGCTACAATCTGCTTCATAAATAATCTACTGATTTTAGTAATAAACAATTGTATGCTTACATTAACAAACAATCTTCTGATTTTATTTTATAATAAAAAATGACTTTTAAAGAAAACAGATGTCATTTCACTATGGGTAAAACATGCAAATGAGACTGCACTTCTGAGAAATTAGAAGTTATTCAATAAAAAAAATATCATGTCTTTAATTGATATTAAATGAACAAACATAGCAGACGATAAAAAAAAAGTTTTGTTAGTAATAAATAACATATTATCCAAAATTACAAAATAAAAATTTGTGGAAATAAATCAAAGACAACAAGTTTTAAGAAACAAAGTGAAGCATGCATATATATATATATATATAGATATATAACTAACTCAGTGGCGCGACAGCCCATTAAGAGGGCCAAGGCCGACTGTGCCCATCTCAGTTTTCTTGACCTTGGGCTCTGGGGTGCAGGAGCATATGTCATATATATATATATATATATTAAAAAGAAAAAAAACTTAATATGTCAATACTCTGAAGGGGAACCAATACTCTGATTGGATGTCCAAGTTTCCCTCCAGAAACGAAAAATAATAACTTAAACTTTTACTTATAAAATATTATTAGACAGTACAATACCTTTTAAAACAGGTAGAAAATATAAGGTGTTGATCAAATTTTAAAGAAGTCATATATTTATAATTCGATTTCTCAGGAACTATTCACCCGATTTTGTTCAAATTTTGTTATGTAAAATTACATACTCTAAAATGACATAAAAAATTTTATACCATACAATTAAAATTTTTTTCAACAGTTATTAAACAAAATAATAAATATTTACTAAAATTAATTTTTTTTATAGGAACCATATCATTGTTTAAACAAATTTTATAGCTGGGTGCAAAATTTTCTGAATTTGTTTAAAAAATTCTCGAGATATGGACAAATACTTAGGGTTGCTCTTCAAATCTAACTATATGAATTATATAGAATATAATTAGATTGTGGCTACATTTGTATATTTGGGATCTGAAATCCGAATCCTTTGAAAAACAGGTAATTTTATTCATAGAAAGTTTATTTTTGTGTCTGGTTTTGAAACTTAAAATCGTCTGCATTAATTAATCAGAATACTTCAGATCACTCCTTCGAACCATTAAGAATGAGTCCTAGAACATGAAGATCCGATTATTAGATCAAACATTTTTAGGGTGGTCCGTTTTCTTTCTTTCTTTTTTTTTTTGGCGCACTGTATGCAACACTCCACACAAATCTCAAATAAAAAATATATAAAAAATTATTTTCAATACTTTCACAACTTAAAACTAACTGTTTAAAAATATATTGTCAAGTTACTTAACATGTTTTATTTTCAGAGTTGGAAACAAACAGTACACAACTTAACAGGATGAAGGGATAAAAATTTTATGTAAAGAATTTAAAAATTTAATTTTGAAATTGTTCTTTTATTTTTAATTTTGAACTTATGCTTAAGAATAAAGGAAAACATATTAATACAATTTGTCATAAAAGAAAACAAAAATTAGTTTAGTCTTTAAATTCATTTAAAATTTGAAAACTATTTTGATTAAAACTATAAAACTAGTTTTATTCAAAAATATAAGTATAATGAGCATGAAAGCACAAACATATATTGTATAAATATATATAGTTTGAAAAGAAATATCTTTGAATTCATGAAGTAGGGGAGAATCGGGTAGCCCTGCCCACTTAAGGAGTATTGCTTATATTTCTGTATAATATTGAGTAATAATCAATATTTTTGCATGTTTCTATTGTTTTATGATCTAATTAAATAATGCTAAAAGAGTAAACCAAAAAAAGAATAGTTTAACTTAAAAAAATAGAAATTTAAAAAAACATGTTTTTCTGCTCTTTTCAAAATGTGTCGGGTAGCCCCGCCCAGTTACAAAAATTATGTTTTTTTGACTGTTTTTCAGGTGTAAATGAAAATGACCAATGTATTGACAATAGATATACCTCATTTATCATTTTTATCACAAAATTATTTTACATATTTATATACTTTTAGAGAATTCTATCATTTAATAACAATAATTTAATAACAACAATATTTGTAGTTAAAAATGCATATAACATTCAAATTTGAAGCAATACAATAATAATCTTTGCAACCGTACATTTATCCACGAAATAAAATTGGGCGGTGATACCCGACATTCTTGTGAGCGAGGCTATCCGAAATCCAATTTTTTTGTAAATTTGAAATTACTCGAACAATTTTTTAGACATGAACTTCTTTCTTTGTGCAAATTAAACTTAAGACTACATACTTTAATGCTGTATGTAAAGAAAATATTTTTTTAGTATTAAAATGAAGTTTAATCGAAACATTCAACCAATTTTTCTTAATTTCAGGACTACTGTATTCAACATATTTTCAAAACTATTGTTTACCTTTGTATTAAACTATTGTATACTTGAAACTTTGAAAATAATCTTTTTTTAATATAGCAATTAATGTCCGCTGGCCCATTGACTTGAAAAAATATTCTATACATATGAAATTGACTGTGGGCATGGGTACCTTAATAAAAATAATTATTTATTTTTAATGTTATTTTTGTAAATACATATTTGTGACATAACAGAACTTAAGATCTAATTTTACATTAGTTGAAAAATATCTTGAAGTAATTAAAATTTAAAAAAATTTCAAGTATATATATATATATATATTTGGAAAATAGATGATCAAATAAAACTTTATAGGTTTTTAAATAAAAACAAAATTCTCAAAAACTTCAGAAATGTGAGTATTTAAAAATTATATAGCAAAGCAAGCATCATAAAATCATACAGCAAGCAAGCATAAAGGATCAACTAAAATAAAATTATCAGTTAAAGCTACAGTAATAACATGTTTAAAAACAAAATGTTTAATAATTACGAAAGAAATAAAAATTTATTTCAATGAAAGTATCAACTCTATTTAATAAAATAATTTTTAATGAATACAGATATAATTACCTTAAGTATTATAAAAATAAAATTACAAAAAATTAAAATACCCTAGATGCATCATTTTGGCCACCATGAGAAGATTCAGTGGGATTAAAATGGGGACCGATACTGTAAAGAAAAAATAATAAGATTAAATTATAATAATAAAGAAATGTAAATAAGTCATATTTATAAAGATAGAATTGCTGATTTAGTGATTCACTGAAATATTAAACTTTTACCCTAACATAATTCAAATTTGAACAAGGTAAGAATTACTTGGGGCTGGTTATTCAACAACCAAGTAAAATACTGTAAAAAGCACAAAAAATCGAAGTAAATGATAAAATGGCAATTTCAATTAATAAGCATCAGTTATTATCAGCACAAAGACACAGAATGCAGAGATAATATATTAAAATAATTATGTTTAATAATGTTTGATGTTGAGTTATAGGCTCATGATAAAATACCAATGTTGATCATTTTACAATTATTAAATAATATATAAAAATAACTTATATTTATTTGTATAATAAACTTAATAAAATTATATGTTTAGTCAACAAATACAATTAAAATAATGAATATAAATTTGGAAAGCACCATAATTATCTATTTGTTGGAAAAAAATTAAACATGTTTTTAATAGTAACAAATTTCTAGGTTTAACAAATGGAAAAATATCTGAACTTATCTGAACTTAACATATCTGAACTTAACAATCTGTTTATGGTCAAGAAATGAAAATTATTGTAACAATCATGGGGGCTGGATAAAGCCAAGCATGCAAGGGACTGAGCCCCTAGTTTTTCATATTTGTTTAAGTTTAAACTTCTAAAAGTTTAATTTGGTTTAAATCAAAGAAATTTGGTAAGGTTGAAAGTTTCTTAATGTAAATTAAATTATAACCATATTATCAAAAATATAAAAATAAACAAAGGTACAATACTGAATTTTCATTTATAAAAATTTTGCTGAAAGAATTAAATTGGAATAATTTTTCAGAAAAAAGCCATTCAAATTCTTAAATAGTGTGTGTTTTATTTTTCTGATTCTGATTAGATGACAAACTTGTATTTTATTATCTTTGAGACACACTGCTGAGAAAAGTAAAGATGAATTTTTAATTTATTTTGAAAATTAAAAATCAATGATTAAAAACTTATTTAACATTTGTCTCTTTGTTCAAACCTTTAACAGTATGAGTTCAGTAGAGAAAGAAGAAATCTAAAAAATTATGTGTTTTAAAAATAAAATTTGGTGTCCTAAAAAGTATTCGCCATAACCTGCAGGTTCTGACGACTCAGTGGTCAAAATTTTTTACCTCTTTTTAGGACACTGAACTTGAAAATTTTAGTTCTTAAAATTCTAAATTTTTCTTCACAACTTTTCCTTTAGCTGTCTAATTTTTCTAGCATAAAATTGTGAAAAATAGAATGGTTCCAATAACTATGAAAAGTTTTAAATTTCTTTACAATGCATTTAATTTTAAGTGAAATTTTTTTAATTAAATTTAATAGCTGATCAATAATTAAATTTCAGAACAAAATCTATAAACTTTGGTTTGAATGAATAGAGAAAAATAGGAAGGAACAAATGAAGATTAATTACTTCTGTTGAATATTCATGAATGGAGTAAATAGATAAATTTTCTAAAAGAATGTTTTCACAAGTGTAAATAAAATTAATGTTGCATATAACCCAATTCACATATAATTAGAATGACATAATATTTTTGCAATATGTAGCTATTTTACAAAAATGCTAAATACACAAAAATCTAAATTTTGAATTTTTTTCTCCTGAATGCTGATTTTTCTATTGCACAACAGTATAGTCATTATTTCATTACATTTACATTATTTTAGAGCCATTTGCTATTGAAACTGCTAGAGAAATTGCATTGAAAATAATAAGAAAATTTGTATTTTCTGTAAAATAATGTATTTGGGTTCCTTCAAAAATCAAATAAATGTAATTGTATGAAAAAATGTAATTATAAACAATGCACAGTGAGCAAAAAAAAAAAAAAAATGGACCACCCTATACTTTTGGTCTTATGATCGAATCTTCCCATTAGATCAATCAATCTCTGGTTCTAGGGGTTGACTTCAGATATGTTAACTAGTGCAAATGGTAATTTAAATTACTTAATCAAACGCAAAATCTTTCTTCCTCTAAATAAAAATACTTTTTTTCGACTAATTTAGATTTCTGAAGCCCAAAATATATTGGGTACCCACAATTTACGAAATATGATCCCCATAGTTTGTTGAGGAGAGCGTTCCTAAGCTTAGGAACAACAAAGTTTATTTTACTGTTTGCGTATTTCACTACATCTCAAGAACTTTTTAAGCAAATTGAAAAATTTTTGTGCTTGATTTCGTAACTTAAAATATCACCTGCACTAATTAATTAACATATTTGAGGTCACCTCCTTGAACCATTTTAGGTTGAGTTTGAGAATGTGAAGATCCGAACATTAGATCAAAAGTTATCAGGGTGGTCCTTTTTTTTGTACATTAAAATGTACTCACTGTACATTACAATTCACTGTACATTAAAATGCATATACATTAATATTTGGATTATTTTGAAGTAAAACAGTAATATAAAACTTTAAGAATAAAAATAAATGCTACCTCATAGGTAAGTCTGAAAGATCACCATACTCATGAACATGAAGCCCATGCTCTCCAGGAGGAAGTCCATCAATTGTTCCATCAATTACGCATAAATCTTCTAATGTTTGATGGAATCTTATAACACCGAAAATTGGTTTATTTTTTAGCTCAGCCACAGCTGAACCTAGACTACTTGAACCTAAAATAGTAGAAAAAACTTTAGAAATATACTTCTACCATCTTTTTACAGCATTTAAGTATCTCAAAAATAAAATTTCTTTACTAAAAACATATCAAATCATTTTTAATAACCAAGCCTTCTGGTCTAAACTAAATACTCCACAACTGTTAAGTATTCTTTAAAAATCATAATTAAGTCTGCTGTTTATTCAAGGGTACGATATAAAACCATGATCAAAAGCAAATATTAAAAAAATAATAAGTATAAAGAAATACTTTTATGGGAATTAAATATAGAAGATCTTTATAATGCAAACCTTGAAACATTAGACTTGTTACCAAAAAGAATAAACTGCAAGTGTTTTATAGAATAACAGTATAGAATAGTTGGGATTAGTTACTCCATCTTCTATTTAAACAAATCATCTTTTGACCTGAATTAAGTATGAAATGTTGAACATCTTTTATGCTTCTTTCAAATTTTAGGTATATAAATTAAACAATGGAGTTAACACAGGAAGAATTTTGCTTTAGCGGTATCAATCTCGACTTCCTCCTGGTGTGAAATTGCGAAGTTATACTGATTCAGCAATATTCCTTGTAATTATGAAGTAAACTTTATTCAATTAAAATTAATCATATTTGGTTATCATATAAAATTAACATCTTTGAAAATATACTGTTATCCTAAAATTTGTCATTCTTTAATTAGAACAATTTTTAAAAATCTTTAGAACACATTTCTTTTTTGGAAGGAGGAACCTAAAACTTATTTTAATGAGTTGGAAGGTTTTTACCCTCCTCCAAAAAAATGAAGTAGTATTTCACCAGATTAAGTAATATCTGCTGGGTGGTTAGCAAGGATCAAAAGATTGGTGACTGCTATTGCAAAGTGTAGCAATGTTTTTTACTGTAACTTTTTATTTTTTTCTCATTACATAATAAATTTCAGATTATCTGAGAATGAGCACTGGTATCCATATAAATTAGTATAATGGTATTCTATGGTATTTTAAATGTAAAATACTAAATGAAAATTTTTAAAAGTAGCAGCAAATATATCACAACTACTTTAACCCACTACAAGATTTACATTACAGCAAGCTAACATAGAAATTTCTCCTTAAATACTTTAATTCTCACTGATTAACAAAAAAAAAAAACATGTTTTTTTCAAACAAAAAAAAGTTAAAGGACATCTTTAAGCATCACAAATATTTTGTAGATTGATTTTAAAAAAATCAGGAAAAATATTCTTTCTTTGTCCGAAAAAATTATTATTATTATATTTTTGCATAGTTAAAAAAAAAAAATGTATATAGATAAAACAAATAAAATTATAAAATAAAACACAGTTAAATAAATCAATAAAAATTAAGATACACATCACAAATTTATAAGTAATGGTTTTTTTAAACTTTATTTTATCATCAGTGCTGAATAACCGATTTACTTACACATAATATTACAATGAACTTGAGAAGGAAAAAAAGTACTGACTAAACAAATGAAAATTACCAAAGCCCTTCAAAACAGCTCTTTTACCAGTACTCTCAATAGCTTCTTTAATAGACAAAGATGGCAAAGAAGTTTCAATGACAACACTTTGTTTTTCTATATCACATTCAACTAATTTTACTTCAGGAAATTTAGATAACACATTCTTAACAGCATTTGCACAATTCTTACAAGTTAAGTTCACATCGAATTCAATCTAAAAAGGAAAAAAAATGATATTCAAACAACATTGCATTTTTGATGTATAAACATTTCAAATGCCAATAATTAGTAATGATTTTGCTAAGTTGTTGAAACTGATTTTTTAAAATTAGGGTAGAATTTGACAAATAAATAAATATAATAGAAGGAACAGCTTAAAAATTCACTCACCTCTGCACAAAATAACTTCTTTTTTTTCCTATCTCAGAATTATTAATAGAAAGTGGTTTTAATGGAGAATGAATAGCAAAATAAGTAAATAAAGCTCATTGTGAATGAATTTTAAAAAAAACTTCTATAGTAACTTATTTATTATTATTATAAAAATTAGGTACTTTTTTAAGGAGTGAAAAGAAATTCAACTGTTTTTTTTTAATTTTTTTTTTATTTATTAATTTAAAATGATAATAAAATAAAATAAGGAAGAAGTACAGTTATATCTACTGCCACTCAGCTAAAAGATAAAGAAAATAATACAGAACTTATTTAAAAACAAAAACAAAAAAATTTAATTTTGGACGTTTTATTTTCTATGTTTAATTTTTAAATAAATAGATCACTAACACTTACACATTAGTTTTTGCTATTTCGGTAGCTTTCTATTACCATCTTTACATCAATTTGATTAAATAAGTATTTAACATTTAATCAAATTAATTATATTTAACATTTTCCCTCAATGACCCCCCTTTCTGTGATGTGTTTTTAAATTTCTAGCGGGCTGCTGCCTGTAAGTTGCCAAGACTTGGCGATTACTATGCCACATATCACGATACGGAAATCCTTTTTTAATTCATCAGTAAAAGTCATCCATTCACCTGGTATTTAAATAGGTATTAACCTAATTAAAACAGATCAGAAGCATCATAATTGATTAATAAAAAATTGATAAGAAAAATTTAAGCGCAACTGCGCATAAGAAAAGGGGGCGAATTTCAAATATTTAAGACGTATAGAACATAGAACAATGAACTTATCTAAAAAAATAATAATCTAAAGTATATTCTTCGTTAAGTCATATGATTTTTTTTAAGAACACAAAAAATCGATTTTAGTTAAACCTTACTTTTGATATAACTTTTGAATCCTCCATTTCAAATCTTGTAAGTAATTAGGAAGTAAGAATCTAGAAATTTAATTTTAATTCAAGGTTTATTTATATTGCGGAAATCCTTGTTTACCGAACCGAATATCACAATTTTCAGATTGAGTTTTCTCAGTTCTTAAAAACAGTTCTTTATACTTCATTGAATTATGAGAATCAATGCGTTCTTGCAGTATAAACAGTTTTCCTTTTACGAACATTTAAAACTTCGTATTTAAAACGTATCTTGCTTTGTCTTATATGATGCATTTTAAAGAAACATTTGGACTAAATATGAAAACTGTAATTTTTGTAAATGCGCGAACGCATTAAACTGAAATTGCTGCCGTAAAAGTCGGCCTTTCTCCCGAAAAATGGGCGCTCATACTGCATGCGGTTCAAACATCTTCAATCGCCGTTGAGAAAAATAGAGAATCTGATTGGTGAGTTTTTCACGGTATTTTTTTTCACCAGCAGGCCCTTGATCGCATCTGTGAATTTTTTCGCATTCAGTGAGAGTAGCCCATCATCAGAAAGTCAGGAGGAAATTTGCATATGCGATCGCTCGTGAATGTGACTGCGAGATAATGAATCGAATTTTTTTCGTCGCGCGAGTGATTGCTTACAAAACTGCTCGACAAGAGCGAATTGCACGAAGAGAAATGCTCCTTAGAACCCGTTTACGCTGGATGTGACTTCGAAAGTTACAATCAGATTATTGCAGTTTTTTCACATGCAGTGAGAATGTCCTTTAAGTACATACATGCATCTCATGCGATTAGTGAATAGGATGCATAGTACACGATGAAAAAATTGGTCTGTACATTAAGAATGATTCTAATCAATTTCGCATGCTCATACAAAAAAGACTTTGAGTGTTGATCATTTTTTTAAAAAAAATCAGATTTGGAATAAGTGCATTCTTACTGCATCCGAAAAAATTGCCAAATTGAATTCGGAGATGCGAGAGAGAACCCTATTTATTGGTTCAACAGCATGCAAGCTTTACGGTTTAAGGGCCTTAATTGAGCACACAAGCCTGAAAATGTATGTTATATTAATAAAAAAATAAATAAACATGCGAGCTTGGGTGCTCAATTACAGGGCTAAAGAGAATAGAAGGGCTGGTTCACTCCTTTGAAGTATCTCTTGCCGCGCCGATCCTGCGACGTCACTCTAGTGACGTCACTTTGGCGCAAAGCTCGCACTTTTACTTCAAGAACGGAGCGTTTGGCCTTACTAGCTCTAACTAATATTGGATCATTTCTTTTTGCGAGATATTCTAAGACATTTGTTATTTTCTATAATGACTTTCCTCAGTTTTTGCAGTGAATTTACAAGATATTAAAACTATTATC